CCATTATGCCGGATATGTCTGGGTGGAATTCATACCCAGCCCACCTACGCAGTGTGCCCGACTCCCGACCACATCCGCCCGAAATCCGAGGCAAACAATAACAGGCCGAGGAAAGAATAATCAACCAGATAGGGGAGAGGAAACTGAAAAGTTTCATAGCCAAATGAAGATTGGCGTTGCGAGATACACACGTGACGGGAATGGAATATCGAAAATTATATTGAGCTCCTGCGGCGTGCAAAATCTTTACCAAAACAATATATGTCATGCACATGCCAGGACAGTAAATGGCCAATGAATCGACTAGCTCCGGCAGCCGCGGGATCGGAAAATAAAATGCACATTAGCCGGAGGCACACAGCCGTCAGTTTCAGGAACTAGAAACAATAGTCGATGATGTGCCCCGACTACGGGGTACCTGTTATACTGTGTGTCTTTTTTACGATAGTACAACCGTATCTGCATAAGCTCTATGAAGCTTTTCCATAGAGCTTCGAAAACGGCAAAGAACGCGAGACTTTAAGAGCTGGCAGCTAGGGACAAGGAAAAGATGGGTACGAAAGGTTCTTAACGAACGCTCTAATCTGCACGTAATTGTGTTTTTGGGCAACCCGGGCCATGAGAATCGAAAAAAGACTGACAGACTGACACACTTGATAGACCCTGATGGGGAAAGCTGGAAAAAATGGGAAAAATAATACTGAGCGCAGAAGATCCATCTGCAAAATAGTATTTGCAATTTTGATGATTTCTGTTTTCCAACAGACCAAATAATAAAACAATAAACCTTCATGTACACAAACGCTTAAAATGACGAATGCCAGATCAAGTCGGGCGCTCGTGTTTATAAAAAGGGACTGTGCCTTTTTGTGTGTGCGAGGGTGTGCATCGAGTGGGCCAAGCCTTTTAGGCGAAAAGCTGCAGCTCCGGAGTTGGCACGGAGGAAGGAATCGTTATGTCGGCCAGGACGCAAGTCGCAAAAAACAAAGAAAGTGCCGAGTGCCGATTGCGGGAGGTCTTTGTGAGGGGCTTGGAAGCAAAAGAGCAAATCGAAATAAATAAATAAAATCAAACGCTGTTTGAGAAGGAAAGTTTCAAACTAGGAAAGCGCCAGGCAGGAGCTCTGGAATTACATCTTATGAGTGTCTGGGGGCTGGGCCCACAGAGCGTATTCGTAACGTACGTAGTCCGTATACATAACGGAAGCGGAAGCAGAGCGATAAACTTTTGTTAGCGCAGCGCACACCAATCCGCGAAGAGCACTCGCGGGAGCGTAAAAGTGCGAAAGTGCGAGCTCTGGAGTACTGGCGTCCTATCAGCCTGGGCCCCCGCTACCACCTCTTCCATCCAGGCTTCTCAGAGTCCTAGAACAGATTAAGGAAAACAGCCGAACACTACCAGGCGAAACGGAAGCAGCGTGTAAATGTTGGCTGACGCTTGACTGCGTCATCCTGCCAAGGGAGTGTCCAATGGAACAGAAATCAGGCTCAACAGATTGTTGGTCCGCAACTTGGCCCCTCCGAGTAAGTCGAAGTCCTCGCATGGTCTTCATTAAACGCCCGGTGCCGAAACCCAATTTGCTTTAATTTCCGAAGAGCTAATGACAACTGATTGGGCCAAAGTCCTCAGTGTTCGGCGCGAACGGAGCTCCGTAAATCCAATAAAAAATCAATAGCTAACAAGCCAAAAACAAACCGAAATAAGTTTTTCTTGCTGGAAAATCTTAATTTTTCACGATGCCACAAAACGTGACACATTTTCGTGGTGGCTGCAAACTCTTGTAAACTTTTTGCACCCACACACCAAGTGACCTTTGAAAATGTGTGAAGGGAAGGACTCATTTGCTGGACGCTACTTTATTGTACCCTTAAGGAGGATTCTTTAAAAAAGTTCAAACTTTTACATCTTTCTCGAAGGAATTATTGTTCAGCATTTCCGTAGAATCAAACCTGGAAACCTAACCTTAGTTTCAGATCCACACTAGAACTTGTTCAAAGCTAGAAGGTTGGTTCCGTTTTAAGAAGTAGTATTAGACCCATCGAGGGAAGATAAAATTAATTTCAGGCCCAAAAGAGTATAAAAAGCTGGTACTCCAGACGTGAGAAACTTTCCTCACTCTTTTTTGTATGTTCTGTGGCCTTAAAACCAATTTCGGTTTGTATTTTCGTCACACGCAACTTGGCAAACATGCATCTCAGTTTAGCTGTTCCAAACAGACTTAAGTGGATTTGGGGTCCCTCGAATCCCAGGCGCAAATATTTTGATTGCGGTCAGGGTCCCTTGATCAGTATTTAGCATAATTAATTAACCCCGGAGAAGATTTAAGTAATTGAAATTCGATTGGTATTCAATTGGACAGCAAAATAGCCACCTTATTTCTAGAGACAAACAGCACAATAATGCTGGGGAATCATTTATGTTGTGGGAGGTAATCGAGGCTTTTTCGAAAGAAACAAAATTGATGTGCAAATTTCCCCAGACTTAGCGTGTTGGTATTTCTGGACACACCAGGGCTTTGTATTCTGGTCGCTAGGTGTGTTGTCATTTATAATGAAGTTTGGCATCCATGGCATATTTACCTGGAAATATATTTCCATTTAGCCAGCTGGCGCAAGTGTCCCCTTTCCAGAGTTGGGGACGTGTTCTAAACGAAATCTGCCAGCCACATGCCTCAAAATGTCATTTTGGCTAATACACCTTTTGTCGTTTGATTTATTGTTCGGCCCTCCCCGTCTTATTTGCATGTGTTACACTTTGACCGCCTCTCCAGAGGCGAGTGGAAGTCCTCCACTAAAACTCCCACTGTCACTGCCTTTCACCCTCCCACTTGTATTGAAATGTCTGAGTGATTTGTTTAAGCAAACGTCCAGTTGTGTGCGGTCTCATTTCTTCTCGTTTCGATTCGTTAGCCCGTCTCTACAGCTGTCAGGTCCAATCTGGGTCCTGGAGCTGAAGCTGGAATAGATCCTGAACGAGCGCCCTTCTTCTGCCTAGTGCCGCCTGCCTTCTTCTGCTGTCTTTTGTGACTTTGTGTGGATGTGTGTTTATGTTTGTCGTCCACTTGTCATGTCACTCAGCATCATTGTCGCTCAAACAATGGCAGTCCGACAATTTTCACTCGCACCTCACCGCAGTTAGCATCTCGGGACCAGGTCCATGATGGCAGGCTGCCAGGGTACTGGCTATGGGTCCGGGCCCCTGAAGAGTAAGCCCCTCTTCGAGGTCGGCATTTCATTTACATTTCAATGTCAGCTCTTGTCCCACGTCCCACAACCCTTTCGCAGGACCGCTGACAATCGAAATTTACCGTTGCAAATCAATTGCCATCTTACCGTCGGGACGAATCCTTTGCAGGACGCAAGGCGGTCGGGTTTACACATAAAAAAATAAATAACCATACGGACGCAGACCTTTTCAATGGTTTTGCATACATAAAGAATTTGAGGCACTCCAGATTCCCTTTTGGTTTTGTGTCTTTGAAAGAAAAATTAAACAAAAATTGTACAAAAATGTTAAACTGTTTTTACCTAGATAGTGCCGAGTCCAGGCTTGAGGACCCTATTATGCTAAAATACTTTATGCCCCATTTATGTTGATTTCGCCGTGTTCCTGTTTCTGCTTTATGGCCAGACAGTACACGGGAGAAATCAAAAATTCAGACCCAAGTGTCAAGGCCGTCAGCAACCAGGGAGGCAGTCGGGCACACAGGCAGAGAAAATATTTTTATGGGCCGGAGTCGGTATTTATGCCCGATTTATACCACATTGGCCAGGAATCGTTTAGCTATTTTCTATGCCACTATATGGATTCGCATTGATGCCTGTGCCAGTGTGCGTACGTGACGGGACACAACGGCCCGGGTTCAAAATAGGACGCCCGCGCCTTATAGTGGGTGGTGGACTGCGGGCGGAGGCAAAGGAATAAGGGCTCCAGGGTTTGAGTGTTTGAGTGCTGCGATGTGTGTGCGTATCTGTTAGCCAACATTTTGACAGCGCCGGCTTTAAGTTGTCAGCGCATTCTTCGGCTTTGCCGCTGTGTGTTGGCCATTGTGCTTATTAACATACTATGTATGTTGCTTGTTTGCTGCCTCCTCCTTGTCGTCCCATTGACAATTCATTTGTGTTATCACGCTCCGTACGCCCACACACCCAGCAGAGTGTGTGCTTCACAGCAAGGGCTTTGTAGCAGAACGCAGAACAAGCAAAAGTGTCAAAATTGCTGGGAAAAGTATTTGCACAGATTTCTGACGATAATACGCAATGACAGGCAAAAAGACACGAGAAAACAAAAAGGAGTCTCAGCGAAGCGCCAACTTTATGTGGCGTCTTACCTCATGAACCCATAAGCGCGGAAAATCAATACTTGCTATACACACATGTCCTCCCGATCAAACTCTTTTCCCAGCAAGGGAGTATAGTGATAAGATTAACAAAAATATCACTAAAAGGAAATGCATTTAGACCAGGATGTATCGAGATCTGAGCTATGGCGGATAACTAGATTCCTGCATTGATGCAGCCGTAATCCCCGAGAGCTCACTCAACTCGGCTTAGAGATGTCTGGTTGCATATCCCTACTTAGGGCCAAATTGCCAGGCACTTTGGCCAGGACTCTAAAAGCACGCTGCAACCAAAGACGCCGACCCAATGGCATTCCTGTCGACCGCCCCTGCCGTCCCTGGCGCCACACAGACACCGCTACAACCCACATGTGGCCGCTCGTTATTATTAGCATAATTACAGGCGCATTAGCGAGCTCGGTCTCTGGCGCCTGGCACTTTGCCTGCCGCCTGATTATGACAGGGCCTAAAAGTACACAGCCTTCCCTGAATCCTTGCCCTTGCCTCGCACCAGTGCAGCACCTGCAGTGCGGCTTTAAGCTGTTGAAAGTCCCTTAAAGAAGCCCCACTTTTTGAAGATGCTCCTGCGCTCTTTTTTTAACCCTCGCATTTTCCGCCTTCATAAACATTGCATTAATTAGATTTTTATTTTACTTTGCAGCCCTCGCTTAATGTTTACTCGGCTTCCTTCGACGTAAAGTGCCGAACGGCCGCAGTTAGCCCAGGTCAAAGGAAGAAGAACAACGTTGCAGATTAGTCGGAGGCCCTGAAAAACAATCTACCCGAGTAGAGCGACTTCCACGACTCACGCAAGGAAAAGCAAAGGCATCCCTGGGATGCGACTCCGCGCGCTGCCCGGGCTCTGGGCCTGGCTAGTTCTGACCGCCCCCCTTACTATGGCCTATCCGAACAGCCCTCTGGCCCAGCCGCCCCTAGCCTCCTACGTGGACACCTTGAAAACGTCCAACCAGCCCAGCCTCCCAGCTCCCGTGCTTCTGCAGCCTGCTTTCGTCTATGACGCCCACCCCCCAGAGGACACTGCTGCTCCTGCAGCACCATCTCCCTCTGTAGATGGTGAGCTCTCAAAGGGAGTCATCGGTTCCAGGTGGGTACACTCAATTCTTTACCTTATTTACTGCTGCCCCGACTAACCCTGAAATGCTGCAAAAAATTGATTCTAACCAAATGTAATACTTCATTTGAAAGATTTGAAAAGTATATCATTTTATATCCTAAAAGTATATCATTATCAAGCTTTATTTTAAATAATTTGATTATCTCACTAAGTATGCCAGTACTTTTACCTACAAGCATTAATTCAATTGAGGACTACCGACTTGCTTATATTATATGACATTGTAATTAAGTTTCTAAAAGTTACTTTTATGCAAGTTTAAAGTTAAAAACTTTTCTATTTTCGGAACATGTTATGTAAATAAATGAATTAGCGAAACCCCAACCTTCTGTTGCTCTGGCTTATATACTCCTCCAAGTCGGTTGAAAATCAAACAAGAATCAAACTTAGTCCTACTAATATGTTTGTTTTATCCTTGATGCAAAGGATTTAATTTTTTTTTCATAAATAATATGACCTAACTAAATTGAGCACTTTAAGAATTAAAAAAAAAAAAGGAATAGGTTCAAAGTCTACTAGAACTGTGAAGAGTATGTTCTCCGTGTATCCAAAGGACTCACCGGATGACGGGAAGGCCTCTTTGTTTTCCATGAACGCTTTACATTTACTTTGCCTCCCCGTTACCGCTTCTCCACCCGCTCCTGCCGATGTTGTTGCTGGGGAAAATCTTTTGTTTGCATAGCTTTTTCGCAATTTTTGCCTAATTGAAATAGAATTTCATGCTTAGCCGTAGCCGATTCCGTTCTTGAGTGGGGAGCGTGGGTGGTCGGTTTGTCTGACTCGCCTTAGTATTTTTAATTAATTTGCTCCGCGGCCGCAAAACACGCGGAGTGGGTAGCGGAGCGCTGCATACTTTGTGGCACGCGTTCACATCCCATTGAGGCGGTCGCCGTGGGGAAAGAGGGTGGCATGTGCACCGGGCCTAGACAACAACGATTAAATTGAGTGCTCATTAACTTCAAATCAATGCTAATCAATTGAGTTTAAGTGCGGCGTTGGCCAAAACGGCGGTACCACACCATCCATCCCACTAATCCCCCCGAAGGGCAAAAACACGTTGCAAACACAAGCAGCGTGGCCCAATAAAAGTTTTTATATTCCGCGTTTTTTGTGACCCTTCTTCCCAGTACTTCAGGCCCAGAGCCATCTGTTTGATATTGTTCCGGTGCAGTTTCGTATTAATTCTGCACATAAACAAATTCACAGCCAGAGGCCAATTGCATCAGCTGCTGCTCCCCCCCTGCTGCCATGGCCTCGTCTCTTTTCACAACCCAGCCGCCCATCCACCCACCATTCCGAGCTATGGATGGCGGGATGTTGCCTCGAAGATGATGATCCCGATGATGCCGTATCGGCCTCTGACAACTGCAGTCACGCGAATCTGGCATATTTTAATGCAACGCTGAGCGATGCATCGGTCTCTGAACAGCATTTATCGACAGATGGATATCTTCGGGTGCTTTGTGGATTTTCACTTTAAACTTGAAATATACAAGGTCTTAAAGCCTGTATTAAATTGAGGGAACTTTTAATCAAGTAACTCAAAACCAAGATACCATATGCTGGCATTCAAATTTGGTTTTAATTTCTTACGCATACGATTTTCTAGAGCTATTTTCTATTTTCCCTATTTTTTTAGTTGCTTTTAGCCTACTTTTCCTGCATTGATTAATGGCAGGAAACTCCTGTTAAGTCACTGTGGCACAATTTTTATCCCCACCTGCAGCAAGTCATGCTGCATTTTTGGAAGCACATTACCGGAAGTTTTGGAAACAATGACATATCCTTAGGAGTCATTCAGTAGCAAGGAACTTGGTCAGTTAAAGGATTGTATTTTCAGAAAATTGCTTGAAGCGGCATAAGACTTAAACTTAAAATAGTGTTAAACGAATGGTCGCCCAATACCCTTTAATGCAGAGAAAATATGTTTAATAATATCCAATAGATATCATCCATATAAACTTCTGTTTTATTATTCAAATTAGAAACTTATTTTTCCTTCTCATAATATTACCATTATTTTTTATCTATCAGCTTAACTTCTTCAGTCTCTGTGGTTTTGGACGGCAACAAGCCACTGTTCACGGATGCCCTCGGACATAAGGTGCCAAAGCCGCCACCCTCGCTACAGGTGGCAAGCCCCATCGACCTGCTCAACCCCGACCGCTACGAGTTCTACACCTTTGACGAGCACGGCGAGCTGGTCAAGCGCTTAATGACTATGCAGGAGATCCAGAGCATCGTGGCCAACGGTGACGGTGATGGTCCGTCCATCATCCACCCGGCTCCAATGTCCCCAAGTACAAACCCTGATAAGAACGTTCAGGAAATAGTTAAGAGTGTTCAGAGCGTGCTGAACAAGGAGGTGGCCTCCAGCTCTACTAAAAACAGCTCTGGGGAATTGTTGCCACCACTACTGGACACGCCGGACGTGTCTTCGACCTGGTCCCTGATCCTGCCCGCTATATTTGGCAACACGGGTGGCGACATCTTCCCGCAGCAACGTCCGCAGCAGATTGTGATGACCCCAGAGTCGGAGCTTTTGGAAATCTCTACCAAGGCATCAACGACCAGAGCCACCAAGAAACCCAAGCCGAAGCCTTCAAAGCGTAAACCTGGAAGTATCCGCCGACCAACAACCACCACTGAAGTGATTCCTCAGGTGGTGCAGGAGGAGCTCGACCCCATGGAGTCCGTCTACACTGGCATGCAACAGTACCAGAACATGGCCACCAACGTGAATTTCGAGCTGCCGCACATCCAGCCAATCTACCAGAAACTTCCCACCAATAGCCCCACCACAGGGCGGCCGGAAACCACTACACGACGGGTGTTCTTCAACAACCAAGAAATCATCCACACCCCCACATCCTCGAGCAGTGCGTCTGTTACCACAGAGAAGATCGTCTTCAACCACCAGCTGGCAAAAAAACCTCCAAACGTGCAGCACAAGCCCACGCAGCCCCACAGGACCAAGAAGCCGGGTGGTTCTATGGTGGAATCACCAACTCACACTGGAGGTACTGGTTCAAAGCAGAAGATCAAGAAGAAGACAACAACCACGACCACAACAACATCCACGACCCCAGCTCCAGATCCAGTTACAGAGCCAGCCACCCAGCCCCCCTCTGAAGAAGTTGAGGATCCTCCTGCGGTGAGCACCACCACAACCACCCCAGCACCTCCTTCGACCACCCCCAAAAAGAAGAGACGCAAGCCTACACGGACCCCTGGGGGAGGATCCACGCAGAGTGGTAGTAAGCCAACAAAGCCGAAGCGAAAGCCGACCCCCAAGCCGAAGCCACAGAACCAATCCGTAAGTGAGTCAGGTTTACCACAACATGTCGCGGGGACGCAAAAGCGACCCCATAAGAAGCCAAAACCAACAACGACCACCACTACTGCAGCCCCCGATCCGGCACCTTTAACACCCACTGCAACTTCTGAGCCTGAAACATCTTTGCCTCCGGTATCGGAACCACAGCCAGAAGAATGTGCATCGACCACTACTCCAGCTTCTGAGCCAGAGCCCCAACCCACCACAACAGCTGCGCCCACAACCATCTCGACGGAGGCACCCACTACCACTTCTGCTCCAGCAAAGAGCACCGCCATTCCTCCCGCTCTGCACCACCAAAAGCTTCATCAGAAACCTGCTGGCTCCACCAAACGACCGACCACTCTGCACCACAATCGCATCCACGGAAAGCCGGTACACAGCACTACCACAGAGGAGAGCAAGGTGGCAGGTGAGCCCCAAACCGAAAGCTACGGATTGGTGAACGTCCTTAGTTCCTCGACCAGTAGCACCACCCACCAGCCTCTCTACCCCGTGCCCAGCTACGGGTCTGAAACTATATCATCCCCGCCTGCGGCTCATGCCGAACCCACTACAGACGTTTCTCAGCTAAAGAAGACACCCTTACCGCTTCCCACGCTGGCTCAGTTGCAGCAGCAGCTGCATCCCAGCTCGCCGTCTCCCGCCCCTCAGCTATCGCCTGCACAGATACTGTCGATGGACCAGATTGTCCAGTCGCTCACCCAAGACCTTTCTGCTGCGGACAAAGCGGAAGGGGACTCTGCATTGGAGCCTGTGAAGTACGACAGTGCCGAGAACAAGGAAAAAATGGAGGAGCTAGCCAACAAGAAGAAGATGTCCATCGTCACTAGCACCACTACAGAAACAACAGCTACCAGTTCTAGTTCGACCGGTCCCACTTCTACCCCCAAGCCCACAACTCTCTTGACCAGTAACAAGCCCCTAATGTCCCACTACGGCGGAAGCACACTGGCCACCATGCTCTCCGAGGAAGATGACCACACTGAGTCCACTGAGTCAGCATTGGGCCCAAATTCGTCATCGGAGACTATGCTGAGCCACCTTGAGGAGGAGGAGCCGACACCCGTGGTGGTGATCACAGCAAGGCCTCAGTACGCTACATTCCCACCCTTGCCGAGTGTCAATGTGGATTCCAACCAGAGTTTGCTTGAAGCCGGAGCTGAAACTGGGTACCCACAGCTAGGGGTAAGTTCCAATGAAAAACAAGAAATGGAAAGCAAACTTCGGCCGGAACCGTAGTTTATATTCCCTTGCAGCTAAGATCGGATACACATATCGGATATGATTGGCCGATCATTATGAAAATTTTATTATAAATCCAATTTATTAGAATACAAAATACAAAACTGGTATTTTTACCAAAGTCCGATCGTTCAGTTGTATGGCATGGTTGTATGCATATATTTAGTTATATGGTTGTATTCAATTATATGGTTATATTCAGTTAAACGGAACTTCCTTGAAATCTCTTTGATTCTTTCACTGCATTTTACAAAATATCCTTTGTTCGATATCCGAGCTTAACACACCTTAACGTCTTCTATGCCCTTTTCGTTAAATACCTTTAAATTCAGAGCGGGTGCGTGTGGTTGCGTGGGACCTCGTGGCGTAGAATGTAGATAGTTTTAAATGGTTCTCCATGATTATAAATTAAAAAGTTTATTAAAAAAGTTCATTCTATATTATTTCTTAAATTAAAATTAAAAAATTATAATTTTTTTTTTTGACTGCAGGCCCAAGAAGAACCGGAGACCACAGAACTTCCCGGAGAAACGCATTTCCTGGGAACCACTCCAATGACGGCTTTGGACAAACAGAAATCTGGCACCAACAAGCCTAACGCAGACTCTGCCACCGGGGTCGACTATAATCCTAGTTCCACTAATGAACCAGTCATAGAGATCAAGGAGCCGGAGGAACCAGCAGTGACCGTTACTGAACAGGCGCTTCGGTTGCCCGTTTCGGAAAGCAGCACGGCAATCGACTTCGATGCCGACAGCACGGAGGTGACGCCGATGGTCGCCGACCTGGTGCAACAACTGAACCTGGAGGTGCTAAAGCCCATGGAACAGATATCGATGTCTAACTTTCAGACGCAAGCAGCCACTGTAGCCTCCACCCTTGTGGACGGCACTGGCTCCCTGGGCTCTAACATTCAGATGAACTCCAACGAGACCAAGGACGAACTGGAATTCCTCGTATTGGACGTCATCCAACAAATCACCCAGGGAGACCAGTACCCACCTGCGCCGAACCTGGAACCAGTGGACGATGAACATCGACTCACTAATTTCGCCCAACTGAACTCTTCGTTCCTTCTGCAACCGAAGCCAGATAAAACGGAGGAACTAAACAAATTGACCCAGAAACCTGTCCAAAAGTCGCCGGATGAAAGTTCAACCACCGATGTCCCCGCAAAGCAGGAAGCTACTTATCTGGAAGCCAGCACACAACCAATTCCCATTCTCTCGCTTTCGCAAATTTATGCGCAGCAACAGCAAGATGAGGATGAAGAACAACAGATGTTTGCCAACGAAAGGCTGGAGGTTCAGCCAACTCAAGGGCCTGTAAGACAGGAGACCGTCCCCGCCATCGAAGAGGCATCCACCGTCGCAGAGGCTACAACCGAGCGTCTGGAATCAAGTGGACACACCACAGTCATCGAGGAGGGCTCCGGCAGCGAGGAGTCCACAACACGGGACTCCTACGGGCAAATCCCCGACAGCTTTACGGAACGTGAAAGTGAAGAGAAAATGCCCGAGATGTTGACAAATGGTTACAGCGAGCAGCCGAAGTTAGAAAACAACGATGACCAAGAACCAACGACAGAATCTGAGCTCATTGTCACAACGGAAAAGACTGTGTCGGAAGAACCTGGAACGAGCACTCTGCCTCTGGAAGGCGACACAGCGACGATGCCGACGCCGACAAATGTTTACAAGGATGCACAGGATGAAGAGCAAATATCAACAACGGAGCAGCCCAAGAAGACAGAACAGGAAGAGCGTCAGGAAGAGCAAATAACAAGTGCGGAGGACAGCGCCACCAATGCTGCCGAACTGTTGCCGCAGTATCAGTCGCTGTCCAGTACGGAGGAGACCGCGGCAGTCACGGAAATACCTGGCGATACATCCTTGGTATCTTCCGAATCGGACATGTCATTCAGCTCAGAACAGGTGACTGAAAAAATTGAGGTGAGCACGGTAAGAACTCAAGACTTGGACGACGAGTCGGCGGAGGAAATATCAGATGAGCTGATGGCAACCATATCGGAAGAGCAAGACACTGAAGACGTGACTGAGTCGGCAACGGATGCACAGAAACTGCAGCCAGACGACGAAGATCCTTACGTCAAGCTAGGGGAGACAACGGCCACAGTGGTCCGTCCACTCAACCCGACCTCCAAGCATCCGGAGGTCGATGAAAAAAGTACTTCGGAGCAAAAGAAGCCCCCAGCACCCATGGCCTCCTACGGCAACCCCTCGGTTGAACAGGAAGACGAAGAGGACGAGGAGGACCAAAATGGCTATCGGGTGGTGCTGACTTCCCCTAGCAGCTCAACGACTACTACGACCAAACCCACTACCACTACGATCACAACCCAGAAGCCTTCAACAACAACCAAGCGACTTCACACTTTGAAGCCCGTTTCGTACTACGTCCAGCCGTCGCTGTTGGCCGGATACAACCAGTTGGACATGCAGCCACCTAAGGTGCTTCCTTACAATGCAAATAAAGTTGCACAAGCCCAGGCATTGGTGACACAGAACGCCCAGCGACCCACCCAACGGCCTGCTTCTCTAACCAACCTAATGGCAAGCTCCACTCAGTCGACTCGACCACCTGTCAAACTGGACCCCAGTCCGGAGTCCTCGCAGGGTCTTGAGGCCTCTACCGCCCTTATGGATGACGATCTGCAGTCGTTCGCCCGGCTTTGCAACGAACTCGCCTTTAGCTACTGGAGGGCTATCACCTCAGAAAAGATCAGCTCAGCGCGGAGCCTGGTGCTCTCGCCCTTCGCACTTACCTCAATGCTTTCAATGGTATTTCTGGGAGCTAGGGGCACCACCTCCGGGGAGATGAACGAGATCCTCAAGCTCGACGATATGGTCGCCTTTAACCCACACCTGATCTTTAAGAACATAACCAGCTCGGTGGAGCAGGCCTCAGATAGCGACATTGCCACGGCTGCATTCGTTAGGGAGATCTTCAGCGACCGAAGCAACGGAAAGATTCTGCCCTTCTTCAAGGAGAAGATCCAGCAGCTTTACGCCGGACATGTGGAGGAGGTCAACTTCCACGTGGTCAATGATATTGTGCGGCGCCGCACCAATCTGTTGGTAAAGCGTCACACTATGGGAAAGGTGCTGGAGTACCTGCGCACCAACAGCGTTTGGGTCAACGGACCATTGGCCACTATATCGGCCAATTTATTCCAGACAGACTGCTCCCACGGCTCAACGACTGAACGCGACGGAGAGATGTTCTTCCAAGTGCAGCCCACAGTGCGGCAACGCCGTCTCGTCCCTATTCCCGCAGTTCTCTACCGCTCCGGCTTCACGGCGGGCTACGAGCCGAAGCTTGACGCGACAGTAGTGGCCTTTGGCCGAATCCAGGAAACTGTAAGCACCATCTACGTAATGCCAGGCCACCAGAGCTCCATATCGCCAATGGGCAATCTGGACCGCCTCGAGCGCAGCCTGGTGGAGATGGCTTTCGGAGAGACGCAGGCTTGGAGCAGGCTGTTGACTTCCCTGATGGAACGTCCCGGCATGGAGGTGCATTTGCCGCGGTTCTCCCACCGCTCCTTCGTGAACGCCTCGCTAGGTTTACAGAAAATGGGTCTGCGAGGGCTGTTCAAGTCTGAGTTTGCGGACCTACGGGGTCTGACCGGCGCCGGAAACAAGGACATCTATCTGTCAGACATGATTCAGATCAACACATTCAGCACCTGCGGCGAGGACAAGATCTCTGACCATCACCATGTGGAGATGTACCCGGCGCCACCGCTGCGCAAGCGCAATAAGGACGTGGACATCCGTGACGACGAGGACCCGGATTCCTCGGAAGCCGCGGTGGACTTTGGCTCTCTGGTGCAGGAGTCGGCTCTGGGGCGCGGCTTTTACGACGATCTTCTGGACCCCAAGTACCTGGAACTGCCGCTGCCCCTTCGACCACGTCAAGCACGAGTCCCCGACGCCCCACGGCTCCGGTTTGACAAGCCTTTCCTGTACTTCGTGCGCCACAACCCCACGGGAATGATCCTATTCATGGGCAGGTTCAACCCTCGCCTGCTGCCCTGAGAATCCGATGGACGCCGGCGGTCTTTGTTAAATCATGGAATGTGACTTAGTGAATTTATACCCTAACCTTAACTGCTAACTTAATTTGTAACGAATGCTTATTGCTGTGCCTTAATCCCGCGACCCTCCGAATGGATCCGGGATTGACGCGCAGCAAACGCGGGCATGTGCCAATGCCAGAGATCACCTTTTTTGAGCGGAAAACTCCGCGTCGAGCATCTTGAATTTTTTAATTCAGTTAGCGTAAATTTGTTTCCAATCGTTCTGAGTTGCATTTAATTCGCCGCACAATATATTGCATGGTTTATGGAAATGCATTTTTTACTCTGCCCTGTGCGGGCTGAAAAATTGCCCACTCGCAAAAAAACGCTGAATAAATACGCGGGAAACAAAAGCGAATGCAATGAAAAATTGAAAAATTAAATGCAAATGGAATCATGGAATGCGTCAATGTTTTGGCAACTGAACAAATGTAATTTAATAAAACAAACTTTACCAATACGCAAATGAAAAATTGTGTAAGCTATTATGTAAGCTTGAACAAAAAGTCTAAATAAATATACATAGATATTACAAGAAGTGTTCTCTTTCCCGGGAGAAATGGAAGACTAGAAGCAACCAATGGACCACCTTGCGAAAATAAGGTGTCGCCTTGAAATTCTCCCATCAAAAAATAACAGATCAGGGTTTAGTAATGGTGGCGATGGTACGTCCGTCTAGTTTCTTAACTAGCGAAACTTGTCTAAAATTACAAAGTCACCTGTTTGTTTAAATTTTATTTAAAATTCAATTTTTGGAGTGTGTAAACCGAAATGCAATCCCTGTGTAAATGGAATGTAGTAAAATGCATACAACATGTTTTGAAACTTATTTAATAAAAAAAAATAAAACTTTAGAAAGTGATTCAGTAAACAATAAATATATTTCATTTTTTTGTGCTTTTGCATTTGATTGACTATTATAAACCGTTGAATGAGCATTTTATTGTAGAAACTCTTGCCCCACTCGCCCCGTTTAAACTGAGTTCATTTTCATATTTTACACAGATTGGCGAGGGGGTGTTTGCCCATTCCCCCCATATCGTCTCCCATACGGCTTTGGAGCCATCAGCCATGAAGCCATCCCCCAGCGAACTGCCCCACATGGATAGCTGGGTGATGAATTCATAAATATAAATAAACCATTCATTTGAAATTCAGTCATGCGTTTGATGTGGCAGTTGCCTTTAATGCTGTTCCTGAGTGCCGGACTCGGATTCGAGCCCATTCCCAGTCCCAGACCACATCGTGGCCTGTGCTACGGTGGCTTCTCTGAAGGCTCTGACTGTGCCACAGCTAAGCAAACGAGCAATCAAAATAATGACTGCAAATGCATACAACGAAAATAATTGCGGGTAATCCTTGCCTGCTAATTTGTGCCTGCTGATTATGTACACTGCAATATTTCTGATGGTAGCTTTGTTTGTTCAAAAGCTCGGGCTGTTTCGGGTAAATGACCCAAAACTAGGAACGATACCTGGCAGTAATGGCCTCATTAATTGCATATTAGAGGTGCAAATTAATGGATGTCTGCACTAGTTATGCGTGGGTTTTGTTAGCTAAACCCCACGAATGTCGCTTGTAAGTTGGCCTTATCTCGCCCATAATCTATGCCTAATATAAGCTCGCCAATTTTAAATTGTGAATTCCGTATTAATTACACATGGGACAGGAGCTCGGTAGAATACCAAATTCCAAACAAATACGATTTCGTGGGCCATTTACTTATAACGATTCCTATATTGAACATTATTGCCCGGCAATGTAAATAAGAATCCGTCTTTATAGAATCCATTTTGAAGAAAACGTTCTCCCCAGATCGATGGGGGCTGGGGAACATTACAAGAACCCTCAACTCGATATGGTTAAAAAATATTTGTATCAGAAATGTTACTGTGTAAGATACCTTACTACTCATGGGCTCTAGGGAAGCTTTAATCCCCCTAGCATAAATCATTAAATGGCAACTGAACAAAACAATATTTTTCGAAAATTGTTTGATGTTTCTTGCGGTCTATTTGAGAGGAAAAGCTCGAATGGTGGGTAAATGATTCCAAATGGGCACATCCAATTATCGATTGGCATGATGGGGGACGGCCAGTCCTGCGTGAAAAATTAAATTACCCTGCAAGCTGCTGGCTAGGTAAAAACTACCAGACTTTGTGGATGAAAGCAAAAAAAAGAAACGACATCAACAGGATGCTCACAATTTGAACCTCAGCAGCGGAATGACGACTATTTTAACACTAATTTCAAATGCAGACACCGAACACGAAGCAAAACGAGACATTTTACAATTTGGGAAAGATTAAAATAGGGTTTTGGGTGCTCGAGTTAGCGTGCAGAGTCTCCCACTTGGCCATCCACTCCGCTCCAGCCACTATCCCACCTACAAAACATTCATATGAAGACATATAGTAAGTATCCAACGGGCATAGAAAAACGTTTGTGAACACTCGATACAAAAACGCAGAAATGCGGTGACGGTGGGGCGAGGCAAGTGATTTTGAGGCGCAAATAACGAAAACTTGTTTAGCAACCATTTTTGGGGAGTGCGGTCGGGGCATGTCCTTGTTCTTGTTGTTGAGCATGCTGTTTTTACACCCGTCCCTTTTCCCCGCCAGTGCTCCTGCTAAAGAAGAAGTACACCGGAAAAAAAATCAAATAACACTCGACTCAGTCCCTCTTAGTTTTATGACCAAGAAGTGTAGCACAGACATTGTGGCGCAACAAGGACTAAGCCCACAGTGGTAAGATACTATCAAGAAAATGGTAGTTTTAGGCACAAATTTGTGTTTCTCTACATGCACTGCCGAGGACACGGACTGTTGGTTGAGCCCGGATTCTGGCTACTGGCAACATACCGAGATGCCATTTTAAAACCGTTTTATACATGTGTGTGTTTTTGTATGAGCGAGCGGACGCCCCATGGACACACACGTTGCATGTTTGCCGGCTTGTTGTCCCTTCAACCTCCATACGGGCTTCAAACCGACTAGTCCTATTTCCAGCCGGAATCTGCGGCAATATTTATCACACTTTAACCGGACGTCGCGTCCTTCTAATGATTTTGCGTTGGCCGTTTTGAGGTAAATGCCTGCGCCCGCAATCCGGTCTGCAGCACATTTGCCCCGCTTTCCTGCCTCTGATCCGCCGGGCCGCCACTCGGAGGTGCCCCATTTCCCGACTCCCCGGACCAAAAGCATAATTCTCAAAATGTGTTACATAAATTTCTTGTCTTTGAATGCCGTCATGCGGGGCTGCTGGCAAACAGAGACGGTGCTTTCATTTTTCCTGCTTAAATTAATCCCTGGATGACTGCCTTGGCTTTACCTATTGTCGATGCGGTTGTGGCTGCGGCTTCCTGCCTCAAATTATAGTTCCCAGTTGCACGAGATGGAAAATGTTTCTTGCCGTTTTCTCCTTATTTACTTAGGGATGTGGTGAGACGTTCGAGCATTTATTTCCGAGCAGAAATCGGAGCTGGGAGGAAATCCAGTCCAATAAAATCAGATACAGTATACGCTTATGGCACAATATACGTATAACATAGACGTTTTAAGTCGAGTTATCCGAGTACATGATACCCTTGACTCATGCCATGTGGATAAATTTGTACATATTTTTATATTTTTTGTGAAAGTGAACGTTTTGACGAGAGTCGCTGATCAAAAAAGTCTCCTTCGCTCAAGCCTTTTAAATTAGGCAACATGATTCTCTATACATGACACTCTAACCGCTTAGTCTTAGTCCAAATTCTTAAAAAACGTTACTTGTGAAGATGAACCTAAGATAAGCAAAAATACGGTTTAAGAAAGTGCCTAATGGTTTCGAGAGCTTCATTTTTAAACTTGTGGGAGCATAGACTTGTGGAAGAGTAACTCTATTTACTAAAATGACCCGGCAAACTGACAAGCTGACGAGCAAGGTCATGTTACCCCATAGCCTGGTGAGCATGAACAACAAAACTCGATAAAAATGTTATAGACATATAGACATATATTAACAAATCTCCATTTTCTCATAATGCTGGGATGGCTTTGAGCGGTTTCGGTGATACCCTCCATCCACTTACTTTTTTTAATATTATTATTTCATTATGGTGTGGCAAAGCTTTGGTTTACTTTTGCAGTTTTAAAATTCCAATTAATTCTGTAGAATTCGAAGCGTGTAATCCAGGGGACACCACCATGTCGCGACTTATTTAGCTCAAAACTTTTAGTATAATTTTTAGTCGACATTTGTTTGAAGTCCGCAAAAGTTGGACAAAAGCGAATATATGGCAATTTAAACGAGAAAAAGTTTCCATCATATTGAAATCAGCTCTATTTGGCGGCTCACAAAAAAGCTCATTAGCTGAGGAGAACTTCATAAATTAAATGAATTAAAGGTACACTCGCATATGTAAATGAAGCTCCCTCGTAATGACACATTTTTGCCTTGAATGGCTAATGAAGACGAGAAGGAGCAGGATAATGGAAACAGAAGCGAAATGTAATTTTAATAAGGTCAGCCCAGTGTCAGCAAAAGTAACAAAAGGAGAAAGGAGGTTCGCTGTCGTAGAAAGAGTTATTCCGTGATTGTTGTTTTCATGTTATACTTACTGCCTTCCCCCACTTTAGTGACACTTTCGCAATTTCGGCAGATGATTTTGCGAAAGCAGCTAAACATATCCCAGATAATGCACCGGAAAAAACAAAAGACGCAAGTGTCCTCAGACCCAACTGGTCTGATTTCAGCTACGATTTCGTCCCTGGTAAGGTGGCGCGAAAGCAAAAAGGATACACCAGTACGAAAGTACGTTGAAAAACATTTACAATGAGCTGGGATGGATAACAGCTGTTGACAAGTTGGCACAGCATTGTCCTGCAAAGCTTTGCCCAACGAATTCTGGACAAAGGGCACTCCATGCCATTGTGGATCGCCGCACGGTCGGAAACTACTTCTCTCATTGCATAATAAGCAATCATAATAACAATACAAATAATAAAAAGGACTTCTTGCTCGGAGCCCCAATGGCGACCATGGCGTCCATGAGAACCGTACTGGTCGCACTCATGTCGATCTGCTATTGAACGTTCTTTCATATAACTTTTAAAGTCATTAAAATAGTATTTTGATTGTAATAATATGTATTCAATTCGTTTCTTTAAGTCATTGTGTTTGTGAAAAAACTCGGGCTTACAACATCAACTACATTTAGCGAGGATACCAGAGGAAGCCAAAGAAGTACAGACAAATAAGATACCGACGCTTACGAATAGTGGACTGATAAGAGGTGACTTCGTAAAATTTTTGGAAATAAATTCATACATCTAAAAAAATACAAAAATTATGCCTATCAATTTAAGATTGTCTGCAATTTAATGTAATCTTCTCAAAATTGATTAATTATTGGAATTTAATATTTTTAATAATGACATTTTTCCACCTTCTTGTGGATAGTTTTAATAAACATCCGAAACAGTCACAGAACGGCACAGGTATTTCAATTTTGTTCATTTTTGTAATGACTCACATTACTAATTTGCCCACAAGACGCTATGGCAACGAGTCGTTGCCAACGACATATTTTTATACCCTTCAAGGGGGTATAATAATTTTGGTCAAAAGCGTGCAACGCTGTGAAGGAGACATCTCCAACCCTCTAAAGTATATATATTCTTTATCAGGAT